TACTAACCCCTACAGTGTAGCCAGCAGGCCGGGGCATTAGTGCAGCAGAAAAGCTCCATCTGCGGGAGATTTGAACGAGCGGGGGTGCTAAAGGGCAGCACTGCTACAGAGAAGGAGCAGACTGGAGCTCACAGTACACTAACTGACAGGGTACATATGGTATCACAGAAGTTCAAATCCCACTTCACCAGAACTGCTTCTGGCTCCTCGTTTATGAGATGCAAGAGTCACGTCAAGTTAAATAGTTTCATTCTGGTTGTCAGTGCCACACAGATTTTAATATTCTCATTAAATGCTCTGTTGTCTTTTTCCTCTCAGCCCTCATCCAGTCAGTGATGATGGAGATGACTGATGAGGTGGCCACCTGCTCCTCTCATAACATATACCCCGTCCCTCAGGTGACATGGGCCACGGACCCCGCCTATGCCCAGGGAGCTCTGGGAAATTCAACCCTTAAAACCACTGACCACAAGGGTCTGTTCACAGTGGAGAGCACCCTGAGGATTCTGGGTGATCACTCAAACCACACCTACTTCTGCACGTTCACATCAGCGGACAAGACCCAGGTGTGGACCGCGTCTCGGAAAAACCAAGGTGCATTAAGATTGTAGAGTTATAAAGTTTTAATAAAGAAGATAATTTCTGACAAAAAGAAATGTAAATGTGTGTGTGTGAACTCTCCTTCAGAGGACATGACCCAGGAAGAGGGTCATGCTCTGTCCATCCCATGTGTGGCTCCACACACTCTCCAGAATTTCTCCCTCACCTGGACCTTCACCGTGTTCACCGAGCCCACTGTTATCTTGAGATATGACAGCAGAACCAGAATCACCTTAAACCAGTGGGAGGGCCAAGGTGACCTGGACCAGGAACTGCTCCTGCTGGGAGACGGATCTCTTCTGCTGCACAAACCAGACAGCGAGGATCACTCCGGGACTTACACCTGCACCTTCTCCAGCCTGCAGAGCAGACACGTGGTTCAGACCAGAGTAAACATCACTGTCGCGCCAATAAGTGAGTATTAAATTGTTCTGTTTCTGGAGAGGTGTAATCTCAATAAACCAATGCAGGAAGTGAAATAGAAGCTGTGCATTGTTTACTCTGCAGGTGTGGATGAGCAGAGAGTGCAGAGATCGTGGTGGAGCACTGCAGCTTCGGCAGCCTTTGTGTTGTTCACCATCATTGTGGCCCTCCCTCAGTGTGTAAGACAAAGAGGTATGTGAGATACTGTGTGTGTGAGGTGTTCAAACCTTTGGAGCGCACGTAGAAGTGTCATGAATGTGTTGCACCCGAGAGACATAATCCCACGGTTCAAAGCCTGCTGTTATTTTATGTTAATATGAATTAGAAAGCATTTATAGAGCACATATCCCCATCACTCGCCAAAAGCTGCTCTATAATCAGTTAGCATTTTTGATGGTACAAAATGTGTTTACATGTTGAGACAGTGTCTGGATCAGCGTCTGGATCAAGATGTGCATCAAAACACGCATTAGTGAGAATTATGCTGATTCAGGAGGATAGGACGTGGTGTTATCTAAGAGACAATTGTGTATCTTTTGAACTAAGACTCATGAACATTTGTATTGGTTATGTTGCTGCGGCAAAAACATTTTTTTAAGGGATAGACTATTTATAAATCCAAAGAGGAATAGTTGAGGGTGGCAAACATTCTTCCGAATGTCACTGAAACTCCTAAAAATTAACGGAGGCAAAGATAATCTCAACCTAATCTCACAAATTTGCTTCAGTGTTGAGAAATTAATAAATAAATGAAATCAAAGCTAACTCTCTGTAAAATACTTCAAAATAATTATTTTTTGTTTGCGCGTGCATGTGTGTGTTACTTTTACAGCAATGGAGGAAACCAGGACTGCTTCACATAGATGCAATGGTGCAGAACTAGGACTTATTGATGGTGGACCTCATAAGGCTCTGAACACCACAGCTTCATACATAATCGTACAAAATGGCGTTGAGTGCAACAGACTCCAACTGCAGTTTGATGTACAGGATGAACTGGCAGGCGATTTGCCAAAAACAGCAGAGAACTTTACCGTGGCTTTACTTCCAGATATTAATATTGAACGAGAAGAGAAACCAGAAGGACCACCTGCGAAAGAAAATGACGGGCTGCAGTCCAGCAGTCTGCAGACGGATGGATTTGGAAGCGGTGAGCCTGGCCTTTATAGGCATGAACTTACGCAGCCAGTAATGAAAGTATTTGGCCATAAATGAGCAACAACCAGAGCAGGATCACACACAGTAAACAGCCAAATCCAACAGAGAGCCACACACATAACAAACAGGTTTAATTTGGTCAAATTCATTTGGAGTAAATGTGAGTAGCCACGTCTTCAAGATTAGTACTTGTGTCATATGCTGTAAAAGCTGTCATTAAAGGTTCAGTGTGTAAAATTTAGTGGCAACTAGTGGCGACGTTGAATATTGCCGAAAACAAAAAAGCCTCATCTCACCCTCACACTTCTAGAGCCAGTGTTTGTTTTTAGTCTCTTCTGGGTTACTGTAGAAACATGATGGTGCAACAATGACCCCTTTAACACATAAAGGGCTGATTGTAAAGTCATGACAACAATGATTCTTTGTTTCAGGTGATAGAGCCTCCTAAATGCTACACACTGACTGGACCTTTGACTCTAAGCACATGATTGTTTCCCCGCCTTTAGAATAAAAAACTAACAAAGTCAAGTTTCTTCTCTTTTTTGTTGTTCTTAGATGTATTTTTGTAAGCGATAAATAATAGGCAGAAAAGACACCTCAGGTTTTTATGATATAGGCAGACATAAGACCAGCATGCACCTGTATGGGAGAGTCTATTGCTTTTTACCAAAGCGTCACAGGAAGCACGAGCCATACATTTTTATTGTTTCTTAAATAACCGATGAGAAAACCACAACAGGTTTGCGTACAAATATGACCTTGCCCAAACATGTGCGGACGACTGCCTACATTACACCACAGCCGTATAACTACAGGCTCGGCAACAGCAAAACAAAGAAGAAACACCTTGTTCTGTGGTTTTTACTGAAACTTTAGACAATTTTCTAATTAAAATGCGTTTCTCATTTAGATTCATATTAAGATCTACATCCTGCTCATTACGTTTTCTTTGTTGTGGTGAGCTGCGGGGTAACTTCACAAAATGGCTCATTAGTGGTCACAGGCACTGCTCAGAGTAAACACACATTGTTCAGTTCAGCGGTTCAGGTGCTTGAAGGTGATATTTTTTTTTAATTGTGTCACCGGGGCGAAAGAGATCAGAAGCAGGGGTGGTGCAGGAGCAGGTGAGAAACAGCAGATGATAACATGGTGAGGTGTTCACTGTCGGTTCATTAAAAGGGAACGAAGTGAAAGATGAGTCAACAAGGCCAAAGTCCAGTTTGAAGAAAACAAACAAAGAATCTTCATTTAACACCAAAACTCGCCTGCTTATCCTTATCCTTGTGATTGGGGGAGACACTTGAGAGTTTTCACGCTGTGACTCAGACCTCCCGATGATTACCAGAGTAGATCATTCACCCACTCCCACAACCCGACACCAAATGTTCCTCCGTGGTTCTCCCCTCTCCCTTACTTTTTTCCACAGTCTCAGTTCAGAGCCACATGGTTTCAGTCTATAGTTTTAAAAAATGCACACACACGCAGCAGTTTGCTGTGAATGTGGCTGTGGTGACTTTAAAATCGTACCTTTTTTTTTTTTTTACTGTCTTTGGACAGGAAGTGGAGAAACATTCCAGCGCTCTATGACAATTACATTTTTGTGTTGGCAGTAAATTTAAAGTGCCCCAGCTTTCAAACAAGACCCTCCTGAGATTAATAGGTGTCGTTTTCCTTTTCTGAAATTGTAAAAAGCAAAGGTGTGCGTGTGCGTGTCTGTGTGTGTTTGTGTGTGTGTGTTTATAATAAAGACCCTTGCTCTGTGTCTGGAAGTAATCATCCCGTCCAGGCTGCAATCCACAGCCCCCTCCCCATGACGTAACCGCAGCTTTTTTGCATGGAGGTTCAGGTTTTCTTCTCTGGGAAATCAAGGGATTTTTCCAGAGTAACTTTTCATTGATTCTTCTCGATGAACTCACCTCAGCTTTTACATTTTATTTACTGACGATCTACCATGATACATGTGGTATTGTCAGTTTAAGATCAATCCTGATTGGATGAAATGATTCGCTCCGTGTCGCAGTGTGTGTGGGACGTCTCTGACTGTGAGGGGTTTTTACTCTTCACAGTTAAGAGGGGGAGTGAGGTTGGATCAGTTTCCAACACAGGGATGGATGGGGCCTCCTCCTGCCTCCACATACTGCTAAAACAACAATCTGAGAGTCAACATTTTTACAACTTGGAGCACCAGAGCCTACTCCAGCCTTTTCTTTGTTTTAGTTTTTTTTGTGAACAAATTCATAGGTCAGCCAGAAAGTTGTTGACATGAGTTAGAAAGTAAAGACTGGGTCACATGTTGGGCACAGATTTGCAGTAAGTTGCTGGAATATGATATAATGATGACATGTTTCTCTATTGATCCCTGTGAGGTCAGAGGTCAGAATCAACCGCAGGGGGAAAACAGATCTTTGGAGCTAGAATTGATTACACGCACACACACAGAGGAACACAGAGGAACACAGAGGAACACAGGAAAACAAACCTTCTGCTTATATCTTAGCAAGGACACTCTCAAACAGCCTTTTAAAAGTGGGTCAGAAAGTGAGAACTGACCAAAATGTCCTCCCTCCGTAAGTTACACACACACACACACACACACACACACACACACACACACACACACTGATAATGCTTCTCCTTCATCTTTCCTTTTTGATTTCTTTGCTCTTTTTGCTCCATTACGTAACAGCAGTTGTCTACTCGACCAGAGAGGGGCAGCAGCCTCTCTCTCTCTCTAAGGGAGGAGGAGGAGGATGGTCTAAGGGGGGCGGGGTGGGGGTCTCCCGCTGCCTGATCCTTTGTCATGGGAAGACTTTACTCTGCAGTCAGTTTCTTCATGCAGGAGGAGCGGACTTCAGCCTCAGCAACACACAGATGCCACAAACCTCTGGAACAACTATGTGACCGAGACACTAAATCAAAGGTGAGTCACTTTTATCTTAACACTGAAGTTGATTCATTCTGTTCCTGAATTTCCTTGGTTCCAGACAGTGATGCTCTGGGATAATGCACATGTGTTCAGTTCTTGTGACTTCCACAACTGTTAACGACAGCAGGAAAGTTTAGGCGATTCACATTGTTAGGCAATTTTGTAAATCTGTCAACTTGTTGCACAAGTGAGTGAATTATTGATCTGTCATTGTGGGTTTTCTCAGAAACTAAAGTGTGGGGATTTTTCACACATGGTGTTTATTTGCACTGACTTAACATTTCTGGAATCCCCGGCCCCTAAAGTGGATGACAGCCAACAGTGGTCATCAGCTAGTCTTTCAGACTGCTAATTACAGCCCCCCGCTCATGTTGGTGTGTTGAGAATGTGTACGAGTTGTTGAATCTTGTGGAAGTTGTATGACGATTTTAGAAACTTAAATAAGTGAAGCATTTCTTAGTTTTTATGTATTTTTATGTATTGTGACCTCACGTGCCGCTGTGGCTCAGGAGGAAGAGTGTATCGTCCACCAACCACCAGGAGGGCGGTGGTTCGATCCTGGTCTGCCTCATCCCACATCCAGTGTCCTTTGGCAAGATACTGAACTGTAAATTTCCCCTGACGGCTGGGCCAGCAGTGTGTGTGCACACATAGATGCACTGTATGAATGCGTATAAATGGGTGAATGGCAAAACGGTACTGTAGAGCACTTTGAGTGGTCCTCAGAACTAGAAAAGCACTTTTAAAAAACAGACCATTAACTATTAACCTCTGGGTCTTAACTTGGGACAGGCCTTTTTCCCCATGTGCTGGCAGTTTCTAGACCAAATGATTCATACAGTGAGTACATCTGTGATTCAGATTTTTTTCTTTTCGTGGAAATACACTTATGCCTTATGCAATGTGAAAAATATTTATCTGCAAAGCCTTACCACACATTAGATGAAAGCCCAATCATCAGCATCCACTCCTCAAACAGTTTACATCTCCCTGAGTGTTTATAATCTACATGTCCCTGCTGGTCTGTAGTCTGGGTGATGCAGTAAAAACTGTGTTCTCCTGACATGAGCTGGGGTCCCCCCCCCCCCACGACCCTTTTTTTCAGCAGGTCTGGAGAATGAACTCATGCTGATTGATTGTGTGACTATGTAAAAGGATACCTTACTTCCTGTAGGCCCTCTCTATCTCTAGACAGCAGCAA